GATGGACAAACAGCAATCTGTGATGATGGAGGTGAGCAGGCCGCCCCTGGCTTTACCCTTTCCCTGAGGTCTCACCCTGGGAATGTATGGGCACTCCAATTGTCCTCATGTCTCTGCAGCGGGATACTGTCCCAACCCGGGTATTCCCATTGGCACAAGGAAGGTGGGCAGCCAGTACCGCCTTGAAGACACTGTTACTTATCACTGCAGCTGGGGACTTGTCCTGCGTGGCTCCCAGCAGCGAAGATGTCAGGAAGGTGGCTCATGGAGCGGGACAGAGCCTTCCTGCCAAGGTGACTCTTGACCTGCTCCCTGGGTCAGCTCTTCCCTGGTGTCTCCACTCTAGGACACTGTTTTCTTCACCGCCTTACTTTAGCTCCTTCTCGCTTTCCAAACCTTCCTGTCAGTTTTCTACACCCAGTCCTGAAATCTAGCACCCTGTGTGCATGTCCTCCGCACTGCAGACATTTGACCTACTCTCTGACCGTCCCTAGATTCTTTCATGTACGACACCCCTCAAGAGGTGGCTGAAGCATTCCTAGCCTCCTTGACGGAGACCATAGAAGGAGTCGATGCTGAGGATGGACATAGTCCAGGTTTGAGGACAAAGAGGGAGGGTGGGCGGGAACCTGGGGAAGGGTGGCTAACCTGTCAGGGACTGTGCATGCTGGAAGCTGAGTCTCTGATGGTGCCCAGGGGAACACCAGAAGAGGAAGATCGTCCTGGACCCCTCGGGCTCCATGAATATCTACCTGGTGCTGGACGGGTCAGAGAGCATTGGGGCCAGCAACTTCACGGGAGCCAAGCGGTGTCTCACGAACTTGATAGAGAAGGTAGAGCAGTTTTCCCTCCCTTTGAAATGAGGGGACCTTGTCTGGACCTCACTGCCCTTTCAAGACTGGTCCCTGGATCTCAGGTCCTCAGGTCCCGTTGTCCTGCAGCCTCCCAACTAAACCGCAGCCCTTGGGCCCCACTCTGGCCCTCCCTGCCTCCACAGGAGTGCTGAGTCCTCCATGACACTGTTAACACTGTGACCTCTTGCTCACCCACAGGTGGCCAGTTATGGGGTGAGGCCAAGGTATGGTCTGGTGACCTATGCCACGGTCCCCAAAGTCTTGGTCAGGGTGTCTGACGAAAGGAGCAGCGACGCTGACTGGGTCACAGAGAAGCTCAACCAAATCAGTTACGAAGGTCAGAGGTTAGGGAAGGGAAAACTGGGAGGTGCATTGTGGGGTTGTGGTGATCAGAGGCTGGGGGTTCTTCATTTAGAAGTTTACCAAGAATTCTTGGGCAATGGAGATTGCTGGGAGAGCCAAGGGCAAGTGGGTGAGGAACCAGAAGCTGAAGATTGGGTGGGCTTGGTGGTGCAGGCCTTTAACCCCAGCATTCAAAAGGCAGGTGGGTCTTTGTGAGTTCAATGCCAACATGGTCTATTTGGCAAAGCAAAAGTTAAAGTATGTGGGATCTCAGTTGTCACAGACCTGTGGGGCTCAAAAACTGCTTAGGAGATCAGACGAGGGAATGACCCCTTTCCTCTCTCTAGACCACAAGCTGAAGTCGGGGACCAACACCAAGAGGGCTCTCCAGGCTGTCTACAGCATGATGAGCTGGGCGGAGGATGCCCCGCCCGAAGGCTGGAATCGAACCCGCCATGTCATCATCATTATGACTGACGGTGAGACCTCTCTCCTGCATCCCCATCTCCTCATCTCCTGTGCCAGTGCCTGGTCCTCACGTCCACTCTCATGGGACCTGTGTCTTCCACAGGCTTGTACAACATGGGTGGAGACCCTGTCACCGTCATCGAGGAGATCCGAAACCTGCTGGACATTGGCAGGGATCGCAAAAATCTCCGGGAAGATTATTTGGGTGAGTGACCCACCTGGGACCCAGCACTCTTGCCCGAGGGCTGGACCCCCATCCTTTCTCTCTCCCTTAGATGTTTATGTGTTTGGGGTCGGGCCTCTGGTGGACTCCGTGAACATCAATGCCTTGGCTTCCAAGAAGGACAATGAGCAGCATGTGTTCAGAGTCAAGGACATGGAGAACCTGGAGGATGTTTTCTACCAGATGATTGGTAGGAAGACGCAGGGGATCACAGGGGCAAGTTGTCTGCAGACCATGGTTGCTGACTTCCCTCACCCCGGAGCCCTGGCCAGCTTGCTTTCCCCTTTGCTCCTCTCCACCTAGGTTCTATTCTTATTTCCTGAGATTCTTCACTTCCTGATCTCACAATCACAGAACTCGGAGAGTTCATTTCATAGGTGTGGAAACTGAGAGGTAGAGACAGGCTCAGGGGACAGGATGTCAGCACTGAGGCTGGGGCTAAAAACGCCTAATCCTCACTAGGCCTGGTCTTAAGCTTTTCTCACTACATCACAGGGGTTCCTAGTCTAACACAGGGAACCCCCCCCCCCCTTCTTGTGGGCAATTGCTCTCTACAGACAGGCAGGGACCTGACAAAGATGGCTGCCATGACTTGAGCCTTCAGCACTCTTTCTCTGCTAGATGAAACCAAATCTCTGGGTCTCTGTGGCATGGTATGGGAGCACAAGGACGGCACGGATTACCACAGGCAGCCATGGCAGGCCAAGATCTCAGTCACGGTGAGTATTCCAGCACAGGGGACTTGTGGGAGGGGAGATGAAATGTCCACACTAGCCAGCCAGGTCTGCAATCAGAGCTGTTCAGGAAGCTGAGGCAGGGCAGAGATTCACAGCCTGCTCTGGCTACAGTGAGTTCAAGGTCAGTGCCAGGAACTTATGAAACTGTCTGAAAACGGAAAAAGAAGCTGGTGAGGAGCGCGTGTGGGGGACCCCCAGCAGCTGGAAGCGGAGTTTGAGGTCAGCCAGGGCTATGCAACAGGACCCTGTCTGAGAGAGGAAAGGAGAGAGAAGCAGGGCTACAGGGTGCTGACACAGCACGGGTGAAGCCAGCCTCCAGCACCACACACCAAGGCTGTCACAGCATTGTTCTTCCCCAGCGTCCGCTGAAAGGTCATGAGAACTGCATGGGGGCTGTGGTGTCTGAGTACTTTGTGCTGACGGCGGCACACTGCTTCATGGTAGAGGATGAGAAGCACTCCATCAAGGTCAATGTTGGTAAGGACGCAGTGGGTTCTCATCTCCAGGCCCATCCTATCCTCAGTACGACCCTTCCCTTACACCCTAAGGTCGGGGAAAACGGAACTCAAATAATATGGGGCAAGAGCTGGGAGGCTGCTTACATAAACGATACCCATTTTCCTCCTCTCAGGAGGGAAGAGGCAGGACCTGGAGATCGAAGAGGTCCTATTTCACCCTAACTACAACATCAATGAGAAAAAGGCAAAAGGAATCCCCGAGTTCTATGACTACGATGTGGCTCTTGTCAAGCTCAAGACCAAGCTCAAGTATGGCCAGACTCTCAGGTGAGTGGGCCCGGGCCCCGAGGAATCAGGGAAGGTGGGCTGGAGGTACAGGGCACAGGGCAGGCTGTCTGCTGCCCCTGACTGTCCCCGTCTCCTAAACAGGCCCATCTGTCTCCCCTGCACGGAGGGAACCACCCGAGCCTTACGGCTTCCTCAGACGGCCACTTGCAAGCAGCACAGTAAGGCGTGGTCTGGGATGGGACAAGGATGAGACCCCCCGGGACAAGGGGTCACAAAGGGGAGTCGCAGCAAGGTGGTGGTGGCGCACGCCTTTAATCCCAGCACTCGGGAGAGGCGAGGCAGGCGAATCTCTGTGAGTTCGAGGCCAGCTTGGTCTACACGAGTTAGTTCCAGATAGGCTCCAAAGCTACAGAGAAACCCTGTCTGAACCCCCCCACCACACAAAAAAAGGGAGCTGTGAGTAGCTCTATGCTCAGCTGAATGCTGAGCACCTAAGTGGGGCCCAAGGGACATCTGCTGGGTGAGAAGTGAGGGGGACAGGGGCATGACCATGTCACTTGTTCAGAGGAGGAGCTGCTCCCCGTGAAGGACATCAAAGCTCTGTTTGTGTCTGAAGAGGGGAGGAAACTGTCTCGGAAGGAGGTCTACATCAAGAATGGGGACAAGGTGAGAAGGGGACCCTGGGGAGGCCGCCTTGGCCTGCTCTTTCCCGAGCCAGCTCTGCCCATCACGCCCTTCCCCCCTACAGAGAGACAGCTGTGAGAGAGATGCTCTGAAGGCTCCTGGCTATGGATCAGTCAAGGATGTGTCTGAGGTGGTCACCCCCAGGTTCCTCTGCACTGGAGGGGTGGATCCCTATGTTGACCCCAATACTTGTAAAGGTGAGGTGGCTCTCTGGCTGTGTTGCAAGCCCTCGAGGCCCAACAGTCTCCTCTACAGCGCCTCTCTTCCACAGGAGATTCTGGGGGTCCTCTCATTGTTCACAAGAGGAGCCGCTTCATTCAAGTGAGTGCTTTGTAGTCCGTGGGGGAGATGCCCAGGGGCAGCATGAACCGCGGAAAGGAAAGCGTGATGCATGCAGCTGGTAATGGTGGCAGAGCAGGGCACGCTCTGCCCTCATGTGACAGCTGTGTTCTGAAGTGGCCAGGGCAAGCCAAGTGTCCGGTCTGTGTGCACCAAGGAAGGCAGTACAAGCTGGGCTCCTAGTGTCCTTCTTTAGGATGCTTTCTGGGATTGTGAAGTGTCAAGTAACCTGTGCACCCGTCACCTACACAGGTCGGTGTGATCAGCTGGGGAGTAGTGGATGTCTGCAAAAGCCAGAGGCGGCAACAGCTGGCACCTGCTCACGCCCGGGACTTCCACATCAATCTCTTCCAGGTGCTGCCCTGGCTCAAGGAGAAACTCAAAGATGAGGATTTGGGTTTCCTATGAAGGGCTCCCTGCTGGGCGGGGAGAGTACTAAATTAAAGCAGCTGCAATCAAGACTGTGTTCCACATCTTTTTGGGGGTAAGGGAGGAGGGGATGTGCACTGGTCACCTTGCTACAAAGTAACATTAACACTGACAGCCACATCTGAAGGTTTAACCCCATCCCAAGTGCTGAAAAACTAGAGGATGAAGGAGGTGAATAAGCTTCTGCCCCAGGATTTTACTGAGACCAGCTTGGGGGCATATGAGGCACAAGGAATCCAGCTTCGTGTCCTAGAAGCCATCCACAAAGGTTTCCTACAGATCGTCACTGTACACAATCTGGGTCCTCTTGTCCCGGTGGCAGCCCTTAGGGCTGTTCTGGACAGCTGGGGAGGGGGGAAAGTGACAGTTAAGGTCTGAGGTAGCTCACAGGCCGGACCTAGGTTCCAGTCCTCCTGTCTCTGCCCGGGCCCACAGTGCCTATGCTGCCCTCTGGTGGCCAGAGTCTCCCGCTGGCTTAGAAAATCCAGACCCTTATCGCAGTGAGCCATGCAGATGATGAAATCATGAAACCCTCGGAAACTAAAGATGAGAGCATCTCTGTGGCCTTGCTGGAATACTGGCTGATCCGCTCCTTCCTGGTGTCTACAGGGCTTTTACTCCGAAAATCTGCTTCAGGCAGAGTGGGCAGTCCACTTTGAGGAAGCCCACAGGTCACGCCAGGCTTTGTAGGAGGCCTCAGAGCCCAAGTGCTCAGCTTCTCTCTTGCACATTTCTGAGGCTGGCCTTCTGCTTGAGGTTCAGACCCACAGTTTCAAGTTCAGACACTGCTCCAGCTCGGAGGGACAACCTGACTCCTGCTCTCCTCACTGCTGGGGACCTTGTACTGTTCCTCCCCTCCCCTCCCCTCTGACAGACACCCTGGCAGCTCTCCATCAGCTGCCTACACGCAAATCCTGATCTTCGGCACTCTGTGGAGGGAACCACAGTGGTGTGCTGTAGGGAGGGATGAGGGAAGAGCCCCGTCCTTACCAAGGGAGCCCCAGACAGACTTGCCGGTGGCAGCGTCCAGCATGGGCTGTTTGCGGGCTATGTTGACTTTGAGCTGCACGGATTCCACCTGGGTTCCGTTGAGCTGTGGGACGAAAGGGGAGGACAGAGGGTGGGCATTCCAGAGAGCCGGGTGCTGGCACCTCGGGACCAGATAAGGATGGAGCATGAAGGTTGTTAGGAGAGGAGGAAGAGCCTGAGGGGGCAGGAGGGATGGGGGAGGGGTCTGACAAGTCCCCACCTCAGCCACGGCCTGATCCGCAGACTCCATCTTTTCATAGGTGACGAAGGCACAGCTGGGGTGAGAAAAAGCAGGGTCAGTGGAGGTCCATGGGCCCAGTGTCCCCACGCAGCATCCCTCCCAGGATGCTCAGGGTGAGAAAAAGTGAGGTCAGTGGAGGTCCATGGGCCCAGTGTCCCCACGCAGCGTCCCCCCC